GCAGCAGAGGCTGCAGCAGCAAGAGCATCAGCAGAAGCAGATGCCGCAGCAATGGAGTGGCTGACAGACGCGACCTGCGACGGCTTTAGGCTCAATGAGCTGCCAACAGCAGCAACAGCAGCATCTGCTGCTGCTGCAGCAGAAGCAGCAGCAGCAGCAGAAGGAACAGCAGAGCAGGCAGAGCCGGCCTCGGACTGGGATCTAGCAGCAGCGCAGAGGGCAGAAGCAGAGCCAGCAGCAGCAGCAGCAACAGCTGCAGCAGCAGCAGCAAAAACGAACGAAAGCCCTGCGTATGCTGTGTTGCCGTCCACCATCTGCGGAGAGTCAACGATGAGGGAGAAGCAGGAGCTGGAGCAGCAGGAGCAGCAGCAGCAGCAGCAGCAGCAGGGGCAGCTGCTGGAGCAAGATTTCAAGCAGCAGCAGCAGCAAAAGCACCTGCAGCCGCAAACGTCAGTTCTGCAGAATGCGCAGCAAATAGCGGCGCAGCTTTCGCCTTCAAGCTCACGCAATAAAGCGAGCAGCAGCACGAGCAGCAGCAGCGGCAAAAAGAGCAGCAGCAGCAGCAGCAGCAAGCTATTTGCTGAGGCCCTGACAACGCGCTGCACGACGACTTCGTGCAGCGGCGGGGACGGGGGTGAAGCATTTCCAGCTTTCGAGGAGGCATCTGCTGCTGCTGCTGCTGTAGATGGCTGCTCAGTACACCAGCAGCAGCAACAGCGACCACAGAAAGAGCAGCAGCAGCAGCAGCAGCAGCGGAGCCTGGAACAGCCACTGCAGCAGGAGAAACCGAAGAATCTGCGGCAAGATCTGGAGGGCCCTTTTGCTGCTGCGAGCCGCCTCGCAAACGGCATGCTGCCCCGCATACGCTTGTTGCTGCTGCAGCTTGCTGCACATGATTTGCAGCAGCAGCAGCAGCAGCAGCAGCAGAAGGATGCACAGGCGCTGCAGGAGGAGCAGCTTGAGGGGCCTTTTCCGCTGCGCATTTTGCTGCAGGCCTTTTCGAAAGCAGCTGAATCCATTGTGCGCATGCAGAAGCAGCAGCTAGAGCAGCAGCAGCCAAAGCAGGAGCTCCAGCCACTGAAGCAGCTGCAGCAGCTGCAGGTGCTGCAGCTTGCCTCTCTCTCAGCTGCCGTTGCTCGCGTACACAAAACATATGCAGCAGCAGCAACAGCAGCAGCTGCAGCTTTTTCAAAGGAAGCCCCAGCAGCAGGTGAGCCCCAGAGCCCTTCGCAGCGCATCTGCAGCTGCAGCAGCTGCAGCAGCTACAGCAGCAGCGGCTGCTGCAACAACAGCTGCAGGAAGGGCAGCAGCAGCTCGCAGCTCTTGTCTACAGGACTTTGTTTCTGTCTGCGTTGTGGTGTACGTACAGCTGAAGCACTGCTGCCATTTGCTGTTGCCCTCCAAATTGCTGCTGCCTTTTGGGGAGCCCTCAGCAACGCCGTGCAGATGTCGGCACTGCAGCAGCAGCACCTGCAGCAGCAGCAGCAGCAGCAGCTACAGCAGCAGCAGCTACAGCAGCAGCGGCTGCAGCAACAGAG